AGGTCGTTCAGGATGAGCCGGTTGCCGTCGTAGGCAACGCTCAGACTGTTCGTGGTCTCGCTGTAGGTGGCGGTGGCAAAGTTGGAGCTGATCCAGGCGGCCAACCGTGCGCCAGTGTACGCGCCCTCGGGCAACAACGCCCAGTTCAGCGTGCCCAGCGCGGCGTCGACCCAGTAGAGGTAGCGGCCCCGGTCCGTGGACAAAAAGCTGTCGGCCAGGCGGATCTTGTAGACGGCGAGCCGGGCGTCGCTCTGCAAGTGCAGGGACTCTCCCAGGTCTACCTCAAAGTCGCTGTCCGAGCCGGCCACTCTCTTGCGGCTGTCCACGTAGATCGTCGTCATCCTTTTCCATAGGAGGCCACCAGTTCGACGGACGACGGGTGGCCGGACTGCTGCGACGGAAGTGCAGCAGGAGATGTTCTCGCATTTAGCGTTGATCAGCGTGGAGCTGGCGAACAGCTTCTGGCCCAGGAAGCTGAGCGCCGCTCCCATCGGCGTCTTTTTCAAGTGCGAAACGCTCTTCAAAGCGCTTGTAGAACATTTCATTCCTCGGCTTCAGGTAGTAGACGAAAGGAAACTGTAGGGTTCCCGCGTCGCCTGCTCGTACAGCCGGTACAGCTGCTCCTTCGGCAGCAGGGCGCTCAGCTCCTCAATAACGGCGTCCAGCTCGTGCTGGTTGCGCAGCCTCCAGCAGCAGAGGAATTGCTGGTTGACCCGCACGGCGGCACTGATGAGCCTCAGCTTCTGCGAGCTCACCCAGGTACTGATCTGCATGTGCCGGCCCCTGATGAAGAGAGTGTCCAGGGCGCCGTGAGGCTTGTGCAACTGCGGCGTGTCAGCAAAGTCGTCGATGACTACAAGCACCTGGTACAGTTTCTTCATTTCCAACTTCTTGGACGCCTCCGTGATCTTGCGCTGCTGCTGATGATGCGCCGCAGCGCCGCCTCGTCCCACTCGTCCCAATACGTCTGCTCCCGCTCTGTGTTCACCCCCAGGTCCCCCTCAATGTACTTCTTGACGGGGATCCAGCCGTCGTCTATGTTCACACTCGGGCTGAAGACGTAAATTCTCTCAAAGACGCCGCGATACTGCTCCAGAATCAGGCTGATCAGAGCCACGGTTTTGCCCGATTTTGATGGCCCGAGGAAGATGCCCGTGCATGGCACCAGGGGCACCACGGGGTCAGAGGGCTGCTTACTGCTATACTCTGTCGTAGGAAACAGCTTGATCTTCCCCATTCCTTTGCGTTACTTGCCAAATTTGAAGCCGGGAAGCTGGGCGGCGAGTCTGTCAGCGCACTGCTATACAGCAGGGCGCTGACGGAGTTTTCCGGGCAATCCGGGCGGCGAGTCTGGTAGCGTAGTGCTGTACAGCACTGCGCTCCCAATGTTTTCTGGGAGACACCGGGGCAATCCTGTGCCCACGCCAGGATTGAGTGAAGCAATCCTGCGCCCACGCCAGGATTGAGTGAAGCAATCCTGTGCCCACGCCAGGATTGAGTGGGGCAATCCTGTGCCCACGCCAGGATTGACGGCTGGGCGTGTGAATGGTGAAAAAACACTCCGGGAGTTATCCTGCGAGGACCGGCAAACTCCCGGACCTCCCGCGCTGGCCCGGCGATGGGTTTTTGGGCAAAAAAGCGAAGTCGGAATTCCGACTTGGGTGGAAGAATCCCGACCTCGGTGTTGCGCGGGCTCGGCAGGCTGGAGGCTCCGATGCCGGGCAGGTGGCGGTGCGTTCATCCTGCTAGCCTCCGGTGGTCTCTGCCGCGGCGGGCGGGCTGGCGCCTGTGGGTTTTAAACACAGCTGCCTCTATTCTGGCGCATTCATTTGCGTCGCCGCTTGCCGGGACGTGTGAGAAAACACTAAGAGTGTTCAGCAATGGCACCTGTGCGCCGGCCTGTGAAGAAATGCCCACACGGGCGGCGGCGGGCTCAGTGCCGCGACTGCGGCGGGTCGTCCTTCTGCGTGCATGGGCGGTGGCGGCCTCATTGTCGCGACTGCGGCGGCTCGTCCGTCTGCGGACACGGGCGACTGCGGTACCAGTGCCGCGAGTGCGCCGGGACGTCGGTCTGCGAGCATGGGCGGCTGCGACCTCAGTGTCGCGACTGCGGCGGCACGGCAATCTGTCAGCACATGCGACAGCGGGCACACTGCCGCGACTGCCGCAGTTTTGTCTGTCGCTGTCCTCGGCAAGATCTCCCGTTTGCCGGGGCGCCGAGCTTGCTGCGACATATGCAGACGATGCACGGCGACAACCCGCGCGCAGTGACCAAGAGTAAGGAGCTTGAGGTGCACCAAGCACTCCGCGACGCGCAGATCGCCTTTGAGTACCAGCACTACCTGCCCTTCCGTGGCTGCGGGTTGGAGTCGGAGACGGCGCACGCCTTCGCCGACTTTGCTCTGCCAATGCCGTGGGGCTACGTGCTGCTGGAGGTTGACGAGGAGCAGCATAAGGCTTACGACCCCAGCTGCGACGTGCGCAGGGACTTCGACATGGCCGCCAGCGTGGCGCTCGGCAGCGGCCACAAGCTGCTGGTGCTGCGCTACAACCCGGACGCCTTCAAGATTGCCGGCATGACGCGGCGGACCACCAAGAAGGAGCGCCGCGCGCAGCTGATCCGCCTGCTGGGCGAGCTGTTGGCGCGCGAGCCGGAGGCGCCTTTCACCCGCCTCTTTCTCTTCTACGACCGGGACGCGGAGAACAGCGCGCTGCCCTGCGTGGCGGAGCACTGGTCCGAGCCCGTGCGCGCCGTGTCCCGCTGCGCCTAGAGTCAGGCAGTTTTCTGAGAGCGGGGCAATCCTGCATTGGGCACAGGATGGCGCGCTAGGTATCGAAGCCGTTGGGCGAGCCAAACGAGGTTGGGCGAGCCCGTACTCATTGGGCGAGCCCGTACTCATTGGGCGAACCCGTACTCATTGGGCGAGCCATCAAACGAGGTTGGGCGAGCCAGTACTAAGGGGCCGTTGGGCGAGCCAGTACTCGTTGGGCGAGCCACTCAACCACTTTCACAGTGGCCTCCACTTTCAGTGTCCCACAACGCCCGCGCCTTGGCGCTCCTACGGTGCCAGCTCGGCACTGTGCCTGCTCGGCACTGTGCCTGCTCGGCACGTTTAGTTAAGTGCCTGCTCGGCACGTTTAGTTAAGTGCCAGCTCGGCACGTGCCCGCTCGGCACATCTACTTACTGGTGCCTGCTCGGCACTGCACCCCCCCACGGTGCCAGCTCGGCACCGGGGTGCCTGTGCCTGCTCGGCACGTGCCCGCTCGGCACTGCCTGTGCCCGCTCGGCACGTGCCCGCTCGGCACTGCCTAGGTGCCCGCTCGGCACCGCCTGTGCCCGCTCGGCACTGCCTAGGTGCCCGCTCGGCACCGCCCTGCCTGCGAAGTTCAGGATGTCCAGGATGTGCGACCTACGTACGGCAGCCTGACAGGAAAAAAACAGAGGAGGGGGGGCACGTTGGGGTTGAGCCACATGACATGCAAAACCGTGCAAAAAACGTGCAAAAAACGTTCACGTGTCATGACATGCAAAAAACAAGCTGTTCCACGCGTCATGCAAAAAAACAAGCTGTTCCACGTGTCATGAAAAAAAACAAGCTGTTCCACATATCATGTCATGCAAAAAAACAAGCTGTTCCACGTGTCATGAAAAAAAACAAGCTGTTCCACGTGTCATGTCATGCAAAAAAACAAGCTGTTCCACGTGTCATGCAAAAAACCGCGTGCAAAACCGTGCAAAAAAACTTATTCTTTCGCTTAGCTCGCGCCTGACTTGAGCCAAAACTTGGGCGAAGCCCTCCAAACGTACTCGCAGTACCTACGCATTACTTACATACCAGAAGACACAATATACTTGTCGCATGTGTGTGACATCACTGAATCTGCACATGAAGCGGCACTCTTTTCTTCAAATGGGGCGATTCAGGTTGCCTCACCCGCATCCAAGCGGCTTAGGGCTAGGCTGAACATTCTGAAGTCGGGGCGGGTTAAAGCCAGGCAAATGCTGGCAGGGTGGGACGACTTCAAGCCTCTCTTGTATTTTTACAAAAGAGGCAACCCTCCCTACCCACCCGAGCCTATATGTCCACATGCATTCACATGTGTGCGAGTGTGGTTGCGTGAACCAACAAACTCAAATGCCTAAAAACTCAAGTCAGTTCGTTTTACAAATGCCTGTTTGTAAAACTCCGCAAGCTTTTTGCTCAAGAATAAGGTATCCATCTCTGCGAGAGTTTCAACTTATTCTTTCGCTTAGCTCGCGCCTGACTTGAGCCAAAACTTGGGCGAAGCCCTCCAAACGTACTCGCAGTACCTACGCATTACTTACATACCAGAAGACACAATATACTTGTCGCATGTGTGTGACATCACTGAATCTGCACATGAAGCGGCACTCTTTTCTTCAAAGCGCAAATGGGGCGATTCAGGTTGCCTCACCCGCATCCATCCCAGTTACACTCGTGAGGCCTGCTACTTTGCAGATGTCACTCCATGCAAACTGTGTTCTCTGGCTGCCCTGTTCTTCCAGGCTTTGGCAGACTCCTCTGCTTGGGGCGTCAGCCGGGTTCGACTCCGTGGGCACTCGTGCAAACCAGGGTCTGAACTGCATTTGGAATTCAAGTTTGCAGAAACTCTCAACGAAGGCTCCAACACGTTTGGTAGCTCCTGTTCCCTTGAGGAGCGAGCTTTTGGCGCCTTCATTGTCCACATAGCAAACCACTTGTGCGTTCCGGAAGCAATCTCCCCATACCACTGCCGCGACTAGCACCGGGAGTATTTCGAGTTCGTAAATTGGGTGCTTTGACTCCTCTAATAATTGGTTCATGACCTCATCAGGAACCACTTCTGAAAAATGGAACATCAGCTGACCTGTCTGATTGTAAAGGACTCCACCAATTGAACCTCTGATGGGCTCAGTGCCTTCACACGCTCCATCCGTAAATAAAAACCACGAATTGCCACAAGTCTTTGTGATCAGCACTGGAGGGCCAGTCAAAACCCGCTCCCTGAGATCCTTGAAGTGTCTGGCCAAGTTCTGTCCAATTTCCACTTTCGACTTGCTGCCTTCAAACGCCATCCTGATCTGTTTCAGAGCATAGTTGGCAAGCCTACCCCAGACGAAACTTTCGAACCAAACCATGCGGCCACGCAACCTCTCCGCCTCCTTTGCTGTCAACTGTCCCTTCTGCAAAATGTCTTCAATCTCGTCCGCCAGTTCTTCCCTGCGGTCAGGAGTGTGAAAAATTCTGCAAATGCCCAAACCCAAGTTCTCAAGACCCACCATCAGTCCCAGGGTCTTGAAGGTGTCTGCAAAGTCCACACACTTCTTGCCTGTCCTTGCAAAACGAACTCCCCACAAGGTGAACAGTGCCTCTGCTGCGTAGCCCGCAGATTTGCAGACATCTTCCCTAGAAAGCAAAGTATAGTCGTCAAAGAAACTGCTCCACAACAACTGTAACCCTGCCAGTCCTGCATACGCCAACCCCGAAGAAACTCTGAGGAAACCAGCCACCGATCCCACTGCCCCAAAGGGGAGAGCATTAGACCCGAAAAATCGAAGCTTACCACTCTCAGTGTCTTTCGCAACTAATCTCGAGATCGCTCTATCTGCTGGGTGTACCGCATATTGCTTGTAAGCCGCTTCCAAATCGTAGGTGCGACCCAGGACTCTGGGATGCGTGCTCGCCTCGCAGGTGTCCAAAGAATACGCGATCATGGCGGCCATCTCGTCCACGGCTTGCACTCTCAGCTTTTCTTTCAAGCCGCACGTTTTGTTCAAGCCCCCAACGGTGTAGTCATCAATGACTCGCACCTTTTCCTTTTGTTGCAGCCCAAATCTCTTGGCGAGTAAGACACCGTGCAGGTTTGGAGCAACGTCCTCAAAAATCCAGCCCTTCTCCACTTCTTTGCAGGTCTCCTCCCAGGTGGCTCGGTCCAAGTCAGTCAGCTCCTCTGCACGCATTTGCTTCAATATGCCATGATTCACACCTTTAGCCATTTGCAAGGCTTGCTCAACTCTCAGCTCAGGACGTCGTACCCTTTTCTGAAAGTACCCCGTCTCCGGAAGCCATCCAGTTAATTTGAAGCCCTCCGCCACGTGTTGCTGCAGCATAACATCTGGGTAACCCAGGTCTCTCAACATTTCGCCCATAAGCAAGATGTTCTTGCCCTTGAGGACCACTCGCACATATTCAGGCATCGCTGCATGCAGTTTCTTTTCTTCCTCCTCCAACGCACTCCTTCTGCCAAGCCAGTGCTTAATGAACTCAATGCGCCTCCTGATGATGTCCACCGCTGTGAGGTCTCTGTTGGCTATGACGGCTGCTTTTGTCTCCTTCTGTAGGAAAACCGCAATGTCTCTCGGATGGCCTGCTGCGACCGCTGCTTTGACAAATTCTTCAGGGCTTCTCGGTATTCCCACAACCGCTTTTTCCACCAAACCTGCCTCTGCTGTTGGCATAGGTGGCAAAATGGCCCACTGAAATTGTTGAGCGCAGACCCGTGCCTCCCCCCATGTGCAAATTTGTCTGCGTGTTATCTTGCTGCCCTTAGGCTTCAGCTGCAAGAAGTGCTTCAAAGAGTCCACGTCTTGAACCGGCCCCAAAACCGTCAAATACTGACCAAATTCCGACACGAAGGGGCGCAATTTGCGTCCTCTTGGCATGCCGCCCAGCAGTATGCGGTTGCTGGAGTTTTGCTCATGGGCCTGCAGCTGACTCAACATGTCCTTGGGATCTAAGGCTCCTGCGTTGCACAGTTGCATCTTGATGCAAGATACCATTCGCACACAAAGGACCCAAGGGTAAGCTGCTTCTTCCTTGGTGGGAAAAAGTAGCCCTGTGGCTGTCACCTGTGCTTTGAAGGACTTGTGGGTGTGTTGTTTGTCGCACCTCATGCTGAGCGACGCCAACCAATCAGCGTTGCACTTGAAGAGGGTGTCTTTGTCACGATGTCCACCATGACAACAATTGTGAAAACGCACATCCCACAGGTCGATCTCTTGCTCCAAACGACACATTGGCGACGTTTTCCAAAAGTGCGAATTGGTCGGGTTTTCCACGGAGAAAAATATGCTGAGTGAATGCGCCAAACTTGCAATTTCGAACACTGCATCGTACAGTTGATTTGCCAGCTCAGTCTTCTTCTTGTCTGCACCTCTCAGCCCGTCCAAACCGTCCGGCCTGTCCTCGGATCTCAACGGGCCTGGCACCAACGATTGCAAATGTTTGGGCACCTTCAACTTCCTTTCTCTAGCTCTCGAAGCAGTGCCACAAGGTGGCGCCAAATGTATCCACACAATGACCGCCTGGTTTTCCTTGATGAATTCCAAAAGCACAACCAATTGCTGTTGCACTGCAAGATCAAAAATTGTGATACTGTGACCTTCAGCTCGTTGCTTCTGATGGTCCACTGCGACTGCCTGAAATCCGGCTTCGTACGCTGCCTTTGACAGCCTGGCAGTTCCAGCGAACACCTCGATGCAGATGAATTCAGAAATGGGCCTTCCTTCGAAACGCCACAAAAAAGGGTGCAGATCTGCCTGCTGAAAAGCCTTGATGGAATCCTTGACTCCACCCGCTATTTGCTGACTTTCAGCACCATCTTCCCAAGAAACTCTGTTCCTCTTCGATCTGGCGCAGTTTTGACTGTCGGCACCTTGGCCTCCTGCATCCGCCTTTGGAAAAACGATCGAAAGCGGCTGCTCGCCAGTTGTTTGCCTCGCATTCATGGAGTCCTTGCTTCCATGTGCAGTTTGCTGACTTTCAGCATCTGCTGCGCTGGCTTTTGCCGAAAAATTGTGAGAAATGTCGTGACCGCATGCATCTTGGCTTCCAATGCACTTGCCGGAGAACTGAGTCGGCTCCGCCTCCAAATGAGGCCATGATCCCACTGCGCCGACAAGTCAGCTTCCTCCCAGCCTGCACACCATGAAACTGTGTCCCGGTTTGTGACACTTGGCACAAATGTGGACACCTTTGCTGCACGCTTTCGGGTTTCCTTGCGTCGCCAGACTGCATCCTGACTCAAGGTTGAACCCGTAGCAAACTGGTTTGCCGTCTTTGGTCTTTAGCTCACACCCGATCAGCAGCTCCGGGCACCTCGGCCTGGATGCTCGCTTCGCTTGGGGTTTGGCCTTCTTAGCTGGCCTGGTGGCTACCTTGCCTCCACTTGCCTCCTTGGGCGGAGGTGCTGTGGCCACTTTGGCCACTGCAGAGGGTAACGGCAGCAAATGCATAGTGATTCTCGGGTTGTACCTCAAGTGGTGGCTTTATCCAAAGGCCACTTGCCATCTGCTTGAGGCCTCAGGCTTGGCAAGTGCTCCTCTGCTATGGCAATCCACAATTCACGATCGGCTGTCATCAGTTGCGCCACTCTGACTGGGGCATACCCGGTCGGCACTGTCCGGGTCAAAACCCCTAACAACTGCTGCAACCACGATTCATGGACTTCCCAGCTGACAAGGCTGCACTGATCAAAGGCAAGGCCTCTCCTTTGCAGCGCCCACTGCAGCTTCAGCTCTGAACCCAAATCCGCATCTGTGTGGGTGTCAGGCGTGTTGACCTTCAACGAAGAACTCTCAACTGCAATGACTGCCTTCTGTGGCTTGGTGATCTGGGCAATTTCGTCCATCCTTACGCCACACTTCTCAGGCGCGATGTAAACCACAACATTGGTTTCAGCCATTGCCGCCACCAAATCCAGCAGGCTATGCGCGGGTTCCAGGTTTCCTTGGATGGGGACTCCCAGGAGCCTCTTCTTCTGATCGGCCAGTCTGGCTGCTTTCTCGGCCGCAGGAAGCCTTGCCGGCTCAGCGCTGCCGCTCACCGAAACTTTGGCCTTCACATCGGCTATCACTATGGTGCATGCTTCAAACTGCAACCTTTTCAAGTTTGCCGTTTGCCCCAAGGTAGCACCATCTCCGAACACAGTCTGGGCCAACACCTCAAACGCTTCGTCACTGACCGGATTGTTGGGCGTCCCAGCTGCGAAGGCCATTTGGGAGAACGTGGACAAACCTTCTCTGTCGAGGGCCTGCTTCAGCGCCCCACTCGGATCCACTTCATCGCATCTTTGCGAGAAAGCGGCTTTGCTGTCCACCAGTGCCATGCTTGGAGAAAAATCTAAACGCGTGACAAGAAACAAACAAAACCCGCTTTCCCTGACTCTTGGAAACTGCAAGAGTGTCAGCTGTCTCTGTCTTGACGTTTGTGTCATGGCCACAAACTCACCCGAGACTGTCACAAAGACTAAGGCTGCTATCACGGTCGGACGGCATCTTTGGAATTGCGCACTTCGATGCAAGCCGTCTCAAATCCACAACTATGGCAGAACACATCCGAAACTCAACATCAAGCTTCACCTGACACTTCCGGACATGCTGATATGCTCAAGGCAACGTGACCCAGTACTCTTCCGTTAGGGAACTCGCTCAACACCTTTTCCTTGGAGGCGCACACATCTCAGGCCTTCGCCGAGGTATAGCCTTGCTCTTCAAGCCCTCGCTGAAGCCACTAGCGTCGATTTGAAACACTGGCGGCAAGTAGGGGAATCCCACCTCGAGACAGCTTGCTCCGTAAATTTGTCTGTGATTTGCCTCCCACAGATGAGGATTTTCTTGTGTTCCTCAAACGCCAAGTGCAGTGTCTTGTGTACACGATGCATAACCAACTTCGTGCCTGACGGAGCGAGTGGCGCCTGCCTGATTATGGGCTCCACCACAGGGATGTCGGAATCACTGCCTGATGAGCTGGTGCCCTCCTGTTCAGAGTCACTGTCACACGGTTCCTCGTGGGACGCATCAAGGTCCTGACCTCCAGACTGCGACACCGCCTCTGTTGGGTCCTCATCATTGAAGCCTGTTGCTACAACTGGCTCCTGAACGCTGTCGTGAGTCATTCCCACAAACGCTCCTGATGATGTTTCTTCCACCGCCGTCCATGACTCATCCAAAGATTTCAACAGCGAACCTTCTTCCCAAATACCAGCACCATGCAAACTGTCTGAAAAACTCTGCTTGACAGGACGAACTGAGGCTCCTGCTTTTGGTTTCGCCGTCAGCAGCTTGCCACCTCCTAATCCGTCCACCTCCAAATGCGACAGCAGTCGATTGCCTCGAGACTCCTCTGGGTTGAACTTGCCCGTCCTGATCTCTTCCATCATTCGAGACACCAACGCCAAGGGTCGGGCCAGGGCATCTCTGGAATATCTGTGGGCCATCTTGTGTCCCCCTGAATGATAACCCAGAGTCAAACGGTCATCCAAAGAGATGCCTCTCTTCGCTGCAAACGACAAAACCGTGCACTTCATGGTGTGAGAGGTGATGCGCCGGTTGTCCAAACAGAAGTTGCCATCAAGCAAAAGTCTCTTCAACCATTCGCCAGCTTCCATGGTGCTTAAGGGCCGCACTGTAGGTGACCCCTGGACGTTGGGGGCCGGCATGAGTGGCATGCTAGGCGGGTCCTGTATTCCTGCTGCCAGCCTCTTGGACTGCCAGGTCTCCGCCCAACCGTCATCAAGCACACCATCCGTGAATGCAGTGAGTGGCAAATGAGCATGTCTGAACTGGCTGGCTCTGCTTGTTTTATGAATGCCCACTGCTCCTTCAATGAACGCAACCTTTCCTTGAAAGTCGTGTTCGAAGGACAGGCGTTCCACATGTTGACCATCCGTCCACCTGCTGCGCGCGTAGGTCATAAACAAAACTGAGCCCGCAAAAATAGCATCCCAGACATCCGCTGCCGAAAAAACCAATGTATGTAAATACGCCAGTTCTTTGCATGTCAACGGAGAAGCTTGATGTGAATCAACAGTGGGTTTGGACATGGCCGTTCCATGACATCTCTTGCTTTGTTGGAATGTCACCGCAAGTAGACTCTCCCAACACGAAACGGCAAAAAGCGATCGCTTCCAGGATTGCTTTGCGCTTTGCAATGCTGCCACCTGCTTGTCTGTCCAAACACAACGTATTGTAGCATACTGCTTCCGAACATGGAAAGGAATTTCCATTCTTGGATAGCATGTCGCAAAACTTCCACATGCTGTTTGCTCGCTTGCTGATGGTAGCAGGCGCCCTGCCAGCAAAAATATCTGCCAGCATGTTTGTTTGGTTCTCCACTGTTTCGCAATCAAGCATCAACTGTTTGGCCTTCGAAGTGTCATTCCACACCATCACCAACTCATGCCAGCGGGCCATAGCTCTTTGGAGCTGGGCGTCACGGTCCTCTTGCCAGGTCTTCACCTCGATGTTTTTGACCACTGCTGAAAAAATTCTTGTGGTACGTCTAGGTTCCTTCCAGGCTCTCGCACTGACGCTTGTTTCTTGAATAGCCCGCTCCTCTTCGACCGCCAGCTCCACAAGAGGTGCCGTCGGTCTCTTGAACTTCAAAAGGTTGTCCAGAACAGGCGTGAGCGAATCTGTAGCCATGAAGCTGTTCCAGAAACCCGTCTCCCATGGAAATTTGATTTGTTCACCGGGCAGGGCACGCCAGGTAGCCTCAATAGTAGTCCCCAGCCTGCTGAAATGCTCAACTCTTGCCGGGCAAGCACTGCCAGCAGAACCAGACCCAACTACTCTGTCGCTTTCACTCATGTCAAAAGATGCCTCTGACTGCCCAACTCCCGAGGACGGTTCGTAGTTGCTGTCACCGAATCCCAAAGCCTCCTCCAAATCTAGTGCAGCGCTGTCATCTGCCATAATTGCAAAGAAAGCTTCTTCACACACTGCTAAATCGGATGAACCATCCAGTAAACCACTGAAATCCCCATGGCACGACTTCAAGCCTCTCTAAGCCTCTCTTGTATTTTTACAAAAGAGGCAACCCTCCCTACCCACCCGAGCCTATATGTCCACATGCATTCACATGTGTGCGAGTGTGGTTGCGTGAACCAACAAACTCAAATGCCTAAAAACTCAAGTCAGTTCGTTTTACAAATGCCTGTTTGTAAAACTCCGCAAGCTTTTTGCTCAAGAATAAGGTATCCATCTCTGCGAGAGTTTCAACAAGCTGTTCCACATGTCATGCAAACACCATGCAAACACCATGCAAACACCATGCAAACACCATGCAAAAACCATGCAAAAACCACGCAAAATGCGGCGCGTACGGAGCGCCAACCCGCCGAACCCACACTCTCCCCGGGTTCCTTGCTATATGTGCTATAGGTGCTATATCTCACAAGGCAAGCCACTGAACATCCACTCTCCCCGGGTTCCTTGCTATATGTGCTATATGTGCTATATCTCACAAGGCAAGCCACTGAACACCCACTCTCCCCCGGGTCCTTGCTATATGTGCTATATGTGCTATATGGCCCTATATAGCACATATAGTACAGATTTCGCGCGTACAGAGTATATAGCACATATAGTACATATAGCAAGGACCGGGGGAGAGTGGGGGTTCAGCGGCTTGGCGTGTAAGATATAGCACATATAGCACATATAGCAAGGCCCCGGGGGAGAGTGGAGGTTCCGCGGCTTGGCGTGTAAGATATAGCACATAAAGCACATATAGCAAGGAGCCGGGGGAGAGTGGGGGTTCAGCGGGTTGGCGCGGCTTCAATGCCGGGCAGGCGCGGCAGGGTGGCGCACCCAAGCCGCCGTATGACCGTATGATCCGTATGATTCGTACGACTCGGCGGGCTGGCGTGTCAGGCGCGCCTGGAAACAGGCACCAACCATTTTTTGGTTGCTGCCCGCGTGGAGTTCCGCGTGGAGTTCCCCTCAATCCTGGGGCCACAACAGGATTGAAGGGACGGAAATTGATATCCAAGGAACATGTTCATCACGACATGTAAATCCGACATGTTGAAGAAAATTAAAGCGTATGCCAGGGATACTGCAGGGAATCCCTGCATTACCGGTATCTCTCTCTTTAGAGGGGGTTTCCCAAATGGCTTATATTCTACCTGAGAGGCTCCCAGCACTCGTCCGTCCAGCATTTGACCTCGTCCTGCGAAGGATTCGAAGTCTAAAACGCTGCGTGGAGGCGTGAGGCTGCAAAATAGAGACCCCTAGATATGCGCCGCAATTTGACTTCATCTACAGAGAGAGGTTGCGCTGCGCGCCAAGTGCTATACGCTTAATTTCTTCAACATGTCGGAGTACATGTCGGATGAACATGTTCTTGGCACTCCGGGTGCGCCACCCTGCCGCGCCTGCCTGGCATAGAAGCCGCGCCAAGCCGCTGAACCTCCACTCTCCCCCGCGTCCTTGCTATATGTGCTATATGTGCTATATCTTACACGCCAAGCCGCCGAACCCCCACTCTCCCCCGCGTCCTTGCTATATGTGCTATATGTGCTATATCTTACACGCCAAGCCGCTGAACCCCCACTCTCCCCCAGCTCCTTGCTATATGTACTATATGTACTATATACTCTGTACGCGCGAAATCTGTACTATATATGCTATATAGGGCCATATAGCACATATAGCACATATAGCATGGACCCGGGGGAGAGGGGATGTTCAGTGGCTTGCCTTGTAAGAGCCATATAGCACATATAGCACGTATGAGAAAAAAAAAAAAAAGAAAAAAAAAAAAAAAAAAAAAAAGTAAAAAAAAAAAAAAAAAAAAAAAAAAAAAAAAAACAAGCATGGACCGGGGGAAGAAGTATGTTCCTTATGTCTTGCCTTGTGAGATATAGAACATATAGCACATATAGCAAGGAACCCGGGGAGAGTGGATGTTCAGTGGCTTGCCTTGTGAGATATAGCACATATAGCACATATAGCAAGGACGGGGAGAGTGGATGTTCAGTGGCTTGCCTTGTGAAACCCATGGCACATTTCGCGAAATTAACGCCACTTGCCCGGCATAGACGCCAGCGTACGCGCCGCATGTTGCATGGTTTTTTGCATGGTTTTTGCATGGTTTTTGCATGACATGTGGAACAGCTTGTTTTTTGCATGACACGAACAGCTTGCACGTTTTTTCGCACGGTTTTGCGCGCGGTTTTTTCATGGCATGTGGAACAGCTTGTTTTTTGCATGACACGAACAGCTTGCACGTTTTTTCGCAGTGTAGGCGCCAGCGTACGCGCCGCATGTTTGCATGGTTTTTGCATGTTTGCATGGTTTTTGCATGTTTGCATGACATGACATGGTTTTTTGCACGGTTTTGCATGGTTTTTTGCACGTTTTTGCATGGTTTTTGCACGATTTTGACATGATTTTGACATGATTTTGACATGATTTTGACATGACATGGTTTTTGCACGTTTTTTTTCGCACGGTTTTTTGCATGTCATGTGGCTCAACCCCGTGCCCCCTCCCCCTGTTTTTTTTTCCTGTCAGGCTGGCCGTACGTAGGTTCATCCTGGAGCTGGAGAACTGCGAGGCGGGGCAGTGCCGAGCGGGCACTTAACTAACAGTGCCGAGCGGGCACTTAACTAGATGTGCCGAGCGGGCACGTGCCGAGCAGGCACAGGCAGTGCCGAGCGGGCACGTGCCGAGCTGGCACCCCAGTGCCGTGCGGGCACTTGTAGGAACCCCGGTGCCGAGCTGGCACCGTGGAGGGGGTGCAGTGCCGAGCGGGCACTAGTAACTAAATGTGCCGAGCGGGCACGTGCCGAGCTGGCACCGTAGGAGCGCCAAGGCGCAGCTTTGAAGCAGGCGTCCACTGTGGTTGAGTGGCTCGCCCAACGGCTTAGTACTGGCTCGCCCAACGGGTTCGCCCAAGTAACTGGCTCGCCCAACCGGCTCGCCCAACGGGTTCGCCCAACTGGCTCGCCCAACCCCTTAGTACTGGCTCGCCCAACCTCGTTTGATGGCTCGCCCAAGTACGGGTTCGCCCAAGTACTGGCTCGCCCAACGGCCCCTTAGTACTGGCTCGCCCAACTGGCTCGCCCAACGGGTTGGTCAGCGGCAAGTCCGCGAGTGCGCAAGACGTTCGTGTCGTCATTGAAGAGTTCGATACAGTGGAGGACAAAATCCTCCACTGCCAATTCCCGGCCGCACCTCCCTGGTGCGGGCCTGCCGTCAATCCTGTCGTGGGCACAGGATTGCCACACTCAATCCTGGCGTGGGCGCAGGATTGCTCCACCCAATCCTGCTGTGGCAACAGGATTGCCCCTTCAATCCTGCTGTGGCAACAGGATTGCTCTCCTGCCCGGCATCGGAGCCCGGCCGCGCCTGCCCGGCATAGAAGCCTCCTGCC